TCGGTGAGTATAACAATGTCTGGAACTAAGAGCAAAACAAAGACAAAAAGAAAACAAAGACACGTACATTGGCAACGTCCTCTCCGCTCACCCTGTTATTCCTGTCATCAGCCCAGTCGGGCTTGTCAGCGTGGTCGGAACGGGTCAAGGGCGTGTTGATTTCTGAGTACGGATGTATTTTGGAAGGGAATAAAAGGGGAGAAGAAGATTCAATTAACGTCCTTTGCGGAGTGTGAGTTTGACTTTGGATTAAACTTACCTCCATCGACGAAAGCCTACAACAATTTAAACCATTAAGTCTCAAGAGAAACAGATAATGAAACATGCACATACATGAATAACATGAACGTTCTCCGGCCCAAACTCCTTCGCCAAACACTGGCTCATAGCCCTCATCCCCCACTTGGCCGCCGACCCTACGGCAAACATCGGTCCCGTCGCTGCACTGGCGGGCGATCCCGTAAAAATCAACGTCCCCCGCTTGCCCGTGACCTCATCGATAGCGTTGTGCTTGACAAAGGTCGAGAGGACTTGTTGAGCGAATGTGAACGACCCCTCGATGACGGATTCTTGGGCGAGATGGAGGTCCCCCAACGTGGTTTCGAGGAAGGGTTTGCGAATTCGGTCGCTTGCGTTATATAGGGCTACACGGACAGAGTATTTAGAGGGTGGGAATCGGGAGAGGATGGATTGGTAGGCAGAGGTGAGGGAGGAAGAGGAGTAGGATAGGACGGGGAAAGTTGCTGCCTGTAGAGAGGTAAGTAACCAGATACGATAGATATCTAGATTTCTAGTTCTTAAAGGGCGTCAAGGGCTGACCTCGTATCCCGCATCTGTCAATTCTTTCTCCAAGCTTTTGAGGTTCTCGGCGTTTCGAGCAATGAGGGCGATGCTATATCCCTTACGACCGAATGCAACACTAACCCAAAGTTTTGCAGATCATGCCAATGATAGAACGTAAAAAATGTGAAATCAACTAACGCTGTTGCTGCGCCGGTACCTCCGCCTCTTGCGCCTGTTGTGACCACGATCCGCGATCAGCTTCGATCCATAAAAAGGAGGATCCGGCCTACCTGCTACAATAATGAGTGGTTTAACTGAGGCCATTGTACAAGAAAAGATACAACTACCATCGCCAACGCATCTCTCGTCCTTTTATTCTCATTGCGGTCGGGATTAGACTCGGGCTATCATCAGCTGATATCACCATCTTTGAGTGTTGGATGATTGAGCTCGATTGAGTGCTGTAAATGTTGCGGCCGTAACCAGCCTGTTGGAGGCAGGCAGCCTACGAAAGTAGCTCCAAGTATATGCGCTCCTTCCGAATGTGATCGGACGCTCTGTCTTACACCATTCACGAGTAAAAATGTTGTTAAATCGACGAAAAACAGGAGAGCCACAGTGCAATGGGAAACGGATCCTATTATGAATTGTCTCTAGTACAAGATACACCGGGTGTAGGCAAACGTCATTGCGGGCGTTGGCCACTACGTTCTCAATTTATTACAACGCCGCCATTTGGATGAAGCTAAAAGCAATATTAGATATAAGGAGATTTACTGACGATTCAGAAACCCCACGTACCATATTCCCAGAAATATAACTTGAATCCTCGCTAGCCAAAAACACACAGCATGTAGCTACTTCGACTGGTTGCCCGGCTCTTCCCATTGGAACCCCACCGCCAGTGGTAAAAGTCTCGACATTGGACTTGTCAAAAGTCGACGGAACGAGTGGTGTCCAAATGGGACCGGGACAAATTGCTGTAGGAATTGAGCGTTCGTCAAAGGTCAAAGATCTCAATTGCTTACCGTTGACACGAATCCCTTTCTCGCCAACGACCTGATTACTGAGAGCCCTCGTAAACGATACTATTGCACCCTTAGTTGTCGTGTAGTCCAACAAATCATCTCTACCAATAAACGCGTTGATGCTGGCCATATTTATGATACTTCCTCCTCGGGGCATGTGCGGTAAAGCTGCCTTGGTGACATGGAAGTAGGAATGGATGTTCAACGCAAACGTATCGTGCCACTGTTCCCCAGTGAGCCCAGACATCTCTGTGTCGGTATTCTCCAGTTGCTGAGCTGCATTGTTTACGAGAATGTCCAGGCGATTTGAGAATTTTGACAAGTGAGATTTGACGGCAGAGATGCAATTAGCTTCTTGGCGTAAATCAGTAGCGAAGAGATGCACAGTCCGGGCGTTATTGGTTTTCTTCATGCTATCAAATCGAATACGTTAGGTTAGCCCACTTTACCAAAGCCTGAGGCTTACATATACTCCCTAGTTTCCTCGGCGTCCTTTTGCTCATCTTCCTTGTATACAAGCGTCACATCGGCACCCTCCAAAGCAAACAAGATGGCTGTTGCCCTCCCGATTCCACTGTCTCCACCACTTATCCAGGCGGTCTTGCCTTCAAGTTTCCCATTCCCTTTGTAGGGCTTTCCGTTGGCGTAGATATCGTCTACCGGTTTAAGATCTTCCGGAAAGCGAAATTGCTTTCCTGGACGTTCGCCAGGGCGATTCTGAGCTTCGACCTGGCCTTTAGCTTTATCCACCTCTTTGGACTCGGGTGAAGCGGATAAATATTTCGTGAATATTTCGGCTGGATATTGAGAAGAGTGAGAAGAAGACATGGTTACTTGAGATTCAAAGGACGAACCAAGACATTTCTATATAAAGGGGATGCGATTTCCGAAATGATGTCAATTTGTACGTCGAGGCTCCGAACTGCTGGATAGCAATATGACGCTGAGATCCAGACGTCAGAGTGAACGAAATTATTCTTACTGTGCTGACGAGCTCGCTAGCCAGATCTGAACCAGATCGTTCGGAGAGTGTAATGGAAGTACGAGGAAAAGTGGCTGAATTTCCTTTTCCGGATTTCTCAATTTCTCTAAATACTTTCTTTCCTCTCTATTTATTTTATCACTTAAGCCCTTAAGATACACATATATGCAGCTCGAACTAGACTTGGCAGGTTTTAGGTTCAAGATTGTCGCATGGATCTTGGCTGTAAATACTTGAATTGGCGAGCAATAACTAGTGCTGCTGGTGGCTCCTCTTTCCATCCAGACGGTACGTCTGCGTGCGCCCGGTCCTTCTAAACCCGGTCTACCTACGATTAGACACCTTCCCAATCTCTGGTATGGCAGTGGTAAAGCTTGAATGAGAATCGTTCGCCGACGGGAGCTGTAAAGTTTTGCATAAAGATTGACAATTTGCACAGGTACAGAAGAACCCAACTCCATTGGGGGAATGCAAATTTCTACGGCACCGTGTAAGCGAACAGGCACAGTGCTCATTGCAGCGAGGCAAAGAAATCATGCGTCGCTGCCGGAGGTAATGATTATCGATTATCGGTCGATGACCTGTGTAGTGCGGCCATTTCGCTTGCTTGAGGTATGGCACTCTGGCTGGTAAAACGAATTCTGCCTGTGCCACACGTACACGAGGATACACATGCACAGGATACCACGCAAATTAGGATCAACATTCTTTCGAGGGCGTTAGGATCACCATAAAAGACGACAGGCCACAGGCGTGTTGTTTTCCCCAGGGCGGCTGGTCCGGTGGGTCTTAAGTCTTATTCGATGGCGATTCGTCCCCAATATCTGGACTCAGACTAACCTATGGCTTCGTTAGTTTGACTATACAAGAACCTACTCTCCGGCGCCGATTCCGCTGGACAAGCTCTTAATACTGCAAGCGGTATGTTTCTATCTGTTCATGTCGAAATTGATTCTAACAACCGCGTAGATTGCACTAAAATTCTACTATTTCAGTCTCCATTATCCTATACAGCAGTCGAGAATGCTCTGGTTATCGCGATTTTTTGCCCTGTGTTGCATTTTCAGCAGCTTCCTTGCAGTAACTGCATCTCCCTTCCCTCCTACTGGCCTTTCGGCAGTAGAACTTGCCAGGCGACGCCCAACGAGTGAGTTTTCCTTATCCTTACCCTCTTTCCATAGTAATAATACTAAGCCTTTTAACGCTCAGCTGTCCGATTGAGAATAACTATTCTCAAAAGTGGAACTATGGGCCTTGCCCTTGGTAAAACAGAAATCCGACCCATTTTCAAGGATGGCCATTTCGATAGTTTCTCCGTGGTTGGATTTGATCGGTCGTCTGGCAAGACTGTTCAGGACCTCAGAGTTACGGCCAAATTTAAAGACCTGAACCAACGTGGAGAGATTATTAGAGACCTCCAGATGCTCAAACCCGCGACGCCTCAGAAGTTTTTACAGGAAGCTATTGGTTACTTGAAAGCTGAGGGAGTAGTAGACAAAAATTTTGTACTGCGGCTTCCTGCTCAAATGAAGCCAGCGAGTACCTCCTAGATTCGTGAGGGCTTAGTAGTCGAAGAGATGAAGGGGAGAGTGGCGTGCTTATAAGCGACTTATTACATATTCGTGTGGATGCAGTGGAATCGAGTCACCGACGACGAAGCTCAATCAAAAAAGACGTATGGAAACTTTATAGCAACTCTGAGACCAAATTAAATTTATGTATTTCCTTTCGCCACACCAACAGAGGTGGCAGATCGTATAGCAATCGCAAAGGGTAAATAGACGCTCAACAGGTGTAGCGCTTGGTGAGCGCTTGACGCATTTGTCCACGTCCGGACACTCGTCCATGGGTCCTTCAAGTTGCGCAATGGACGATTCTTGCTGATGATCGCGATGCAACATCTTCCCAGCTGCGCAGCACGGCTTCAGTTTGGAAAAATCATTGGAAAGCAAGTTAGAAAGTTCTTTTTTCCCTTTGTTCATTTTTCTTTTTCCCAGCCGAAACAGAGGCTTACTTCCAGCAGTACTCACTGTTAATTCAGCTTTCAGATTTGAAAATCTCGTCCTCCAGCTTACAATAATTCCAAGGCCTGGAGAAATGGTACCAAAATCGGCATTTAACGAGAACATGCAGCATTTAACCTTGTAAGTACTAATCATGCTGTCAAATTTCAATACTTAGGACGTTTCATTCCCTCTTTTTCCATCGTCCCTATCGATTAGTGGTCAAATCATCGTGTTGTGGTTCTAGACATGCACCGCGAAGCCGGGAGCTCGAATCTCCCTAGGGACATTGGACGAAATTGATTCAGATTTTTTTTTTTGGATAGTGTGGTATCGATGCATCTGTCAACCTCGACAGAATGTTCAAGCCAATAGGTAAGTAAAAATGAAGTTTCCCGCGTCTCAGAAACAAGTCTCCTTTGAATCGACGCTGTAGACATGGTCAGCTTCAAGGCAGATATTATTGCCAGAATTGATTACAATTGCAATTGCGCAGTTGAAGACTTATGCCCACGCCGATCGCTGTTATCATTTTTGGTCAATCTGCGCAGTATAAAGTCGTGCGACAACTCTCATTTTGAGATGTCCCTGACAGTGACTGTGATAGGGCGCGGTTTCAAGTTCAAAGCAACTGCGATACTGATTTTTGCAGCTTCTGTCCTCTCGCGACTGATGTGTACTCTTCAACTTCTTTTTTAGATATTGGGTTCGGTGGTGTAGTGGTTATCACGTCTGTCTCACATGGTTTGCGAATTATTCTTGTGTGCACAGGAGGTCCCCGGTTCGAGACCGGGTCGAACCACGTTTTTGATAGGAGGAATGGAAGGTTGCATTTTTGCGCCACATTGTTGCTTGATTGTTGCTGCGTAACTTGGCAGGATGATGTCACAGGAGCCCTCAAAGTGGATATCCGGGATGCTCACACCGAAGGCCCTTGAAAAAATTTCTTGTCTCCGAATAACCTGCATCTAGTAGCTCCACGAGGGAGTCCCAGGATCGGCTTGCTCCCAATTGAATTCAACCAACAAGTATAATAGCATCTCCTGGAAACATATATCAGGTGGATCAGCTATCAATACCAGTATCACAAAAATGAATAGCTCTGGCAGCAGCTCCGATGCTGCATCTGGTGCACCCAGCCAATCTTCTCCAACCACTCCCACATCCCCAACGGCTGCTGGAAAAAAACCGGAATCCGCTGTCAATCATTCAGGCTCACAAAATCCCCGTCCTTTTCTCTCCGCTTCGGACTTGGCTGTCGAAGAAGACATCGCTTCTCCCCCGTATGCCAGTACCTCCAACCTGGCCAACCAGGAACTACTATTAAACTCCAATAATCCCTATTCTACCTATCCGCCCAGTCCTGCCTATAGATCTCAAGTTAATATGAACGAAGAAGTACATCTTGGAGGTGACCGACAGGCCAGTGCGGACGAGAAATGGGAAGGAGAATTGCGAGACACCAAACTCAAAGTGCATTATCCTGAATCCGTCGACCTCGAACCTATTCCTGTTGTTTCCACTAGTTCTGTCGCTTCAAACAAGGCATACCTTCGTATAGACGATATGCCACCTCCCAACAGAGATTTTACCAGTAATACCCATCCCGCAGATACAGTCTCGCTTGCTGGGACTGACGACGAAGAAGATGACTCGGATTATGACTGGAGTGGTGAAGATGATCTTGTTGACGAAGAGGCTAAATTTGAGCACAAGATGGGAGTTCAACGTAAGAAAACGGGATGGGGATTGAAAAGGTAAGTCCAGCAGCGCCTCAATTAGAAAAAAATTTGACAGTCGCATAGAATTATCACCCTTCTTTTCTCGTCTCTCATTGGTTCCACCCTTCTTGCCGGTGTTCTGGTTGCGCCTGGCATTCTTATTCATTTCTACTGGTACAATAACAACCCCACGTCTCATCGGAAATACGTCGAGCAGAACGTTCAAGCATGGCTATTCTGGGCTGCAGCCAACCTATTACTTTCCTGGTATCTTGCCGTCATCGTTGACCTTGTCCCCACTGTCGCCACTTTCATCATTGCTGCAGCCTGGGGCCATGTATCCGAGAGAATAAAATCTCGCGTCGAACTTTACAATTCGGTCAAGAACACGTTCAAACCTGTTCTTTACGCGGCTTCCGGGTGGGCTTCATGGATCATCATCTTTGGTCACATCTTCGACCTCTACAATACTCAAGATACGAGCCAGAGCCGTGCCAAGTACACTCAGAGACTTGGTCAAGTGGTTGAATTCTTGTTCTTCTTCGTCTTGGTTGTTTGTGCGCAGAGGATGCTTTCACATGCCATAGCATTTGCGTTCCATGCAACGGCGTTTAAAGATCGTCTCGAGTCGGTTCAAACTGCGCTTAAAGTTATTGAACAGCTGCGCAATTACCGGCCGAAGCATCATAACTTTGGTCGTCAATCGGCTGGCAGGAGCAGTGGATGGGGATGGGGGACCCCGGTATTGGAGAAGGCTGGATTTGGATTCACCAAAAGTGGACATAGCAAACACAATACTTCCTTTTCCCAAAACCACCGGCCGCGGAGTGATGATGGCACCGATACTGATCACGAATTCGATGAACGCACAGTGGTAGGTAACTCGAGGAAGTCCACTCTCAGTTCATTCCGATTCGGAAGTCACACCAAAGGCAAGAAACGTCTATCGGCCATCCCTGCATCTTCCCCTTCTGGATTTGGCGATCATGAACTAGGAGTCTTTTCTGAGGCGCATGATTCACCTTCACCATCCAGTCGACCCTTGACACCCTCTACCGGAGCACCCTTCATCTCTTCGCCTCTGTCGCCTCCTGGACCTCATCGCTACCCCCCCGGCTCTGACTCTCCCAGACCTTCCATTGAATCGTCCGCCGGAGCCGGCGAAACTCTCGCCGCTGCTGCCAAAGCTCTGAGAAGTGCCGTTCTTCACGATGCTCGCAACATACGCGGCACTGATGACGACGATACCAACGGTGGGATCGCTGGCGTTTTAGGATTTGGTAGTGGCGTAGGCTCAAGTAGCGAGGCTAAGCGACTCGCACGGGCGATCTATTTCAAATTCAAGCCTCCCGGCCAAGGAAGGACTTATCTTCTCCCTACTGATTTCCACCCTGCATTTCCTGACACTACCGCTGCCCAAACTGCTTTCCGCGTATTCGACAAGGATAATAACGGTGATATATCCCGTGCGGAGATCAAAACTACGCTGCTCAAGGTGTATAAAGAACGTCGATTCCTTGCTAGATCAATGAGGGATGTTGGCAAGGCTTTGAAGAGTTTGGATCAAATTTTGTTTTTCTTTGCATTGGTGATACTGTTTTTCATCTCCTTGTCGGTGTTTGGCGTACAAATTGGGGCTAGTCTGAGTAGTGTTTATACGTTGTTTGTTGGAGCGAGTTTCATCTTCAAGAGTAGTGCATCGAGTGCGTTCGACTCGATTATGTTTTTGTTTGTCACTCAGTGAGTTGTTTGTTCTTTTACTCCTCCTGATTTGACAGATCTAAATTACTTCTTTTAGCCCTTACGATACTGGTGACCGATGCTTTATCGACGATGAGATCCTCGTCGTGAAGAAGATGGGTCTATTCGCCACCGTCTTCACGCGCGTAGACGGCACGGAAACTTATTATTTTAACAGTCAGCTTTTCGCCAAGTTCATGTAGGTGGTCCTTTCGAGTGGTATACTTATGTCGATAAATCGCTTATTCCTTTCTTTCCAGCACTAACGTCCGCCGTTCTGGAGATATGTACGAGAACGTGACTCTGCAACTTCACTGGAAGACCCCAATCGAAAAACTGAATGAATTGGAGACCTGCTTGAACAATTGGCTTGCGACGGAACAGAATCGATGGTTCGTTCCTACCACAGCTGTCATGCTGCAGAGTATCAACTTTCAAAGATATCTGGAGGTCACGATTGGTATTGGGCATAACGGGTACGTTTCGAGTTTTTGGTTCCTATGTCCGCATACAATCCGCTCATTTGACTATTGCATACAAAGAACGTGGCAAGATTGGGGCCTCCGTTGTGCACGCAAGACCGCTTTCCACGCCGCCGTCCAGCACTATACTCGTCAATTAGGTATTATGTGTTACGAAGCTACTCAACCCATTGTTTATGCCGATGGAGCCAACGGCTCTGCTGATTGGGGAGCCCAACCTTCCTCGCCTGGATTTGATGGATACGAGGTTGAGGAAGGACCGGATGGTGGAGTGGATGTCATTTATGGCGGGTCAGGGTCAGGGTCAGGTTCGAAAGGAGGTGTTACTCCTGCTACTGCTGCTGCGCTTGGCGCGGAGAAGGAAGCCGGAGTCAAGACGGCTCTTGGGTTTACTCCTCCTGAAGGTTTGGTTGGGTCGCATTTGAGGGCGAGGAAGACGAAGAGCAAAAAAGTCATGGTTGGGTTGGCTGGGGATGGGTGAGCGAGTGATCGGAGCATAGTTTGTTTTTGCTGTGTTTTTTTTTTCTTCTGTTTTTTGCATATCGACCCTTATTGGGACGACCCTCTCATCTCATCAAAACAGCATCATGGCTCACTTTTTGCATGTCGCATCCAAGTAGGGTGCTTTTTACTTTATCTGTATATCATGTTCAAGTAGATGATATTGCTTTTGCTTTTGCTTTAATTTTGCTCTCCTAGACAATGGTACTTGTCGTAGTACATAGACAGCCTCATGAAAAATAATGTTTCCGGACTTGACAGAATGTACCATACGCGATGCACCCCTTGATACGTTGTGACTATACGACTCTGACGGGACCCGTTTGGCGACTAGTCGCAAGACTACTGGCGTATAAAAGAGACTCAGTACGGTAGTACCAGCTTCCCAACTCGCTGGTCGTGTTTATCATTCGCCTCTTTGCTGGTCAAAGACAACGCACGCACACATTTATCTCCCAAGCTTCACGACATTCTGCCCAATATCCCTCCGTATCCACAATGCATTTCAAATCTTCTTTTGTGTACCTTGCCGCCTTTGGTGTTAGTTTAATTCCTGCTTCCTGGGCGTCACCGCTAAGGGTAAGTCGTTGTGGGTCTTTTCTCTCCGATCATTGTGCATTAAAATCCTTACTTACAGCTGGTTTCGAGCAATATCGAAACCCGCTCTTCTCGTGGCTCATCCACGGATTCGCAGCTTCCCGACGCGCCTCTACTCGCTACAGTCGACTTTGTCCACGGCTCCGGGTCTCAGGCTACAAACGAAAATAATCATCCGCTTTACCTCGAAATGGTCATGGAACTCGTTGACCGGTTCGCAGACACAAAAACACACCCACCTTCTGCTTTCCAACATGAGAGCATCAAATTTGACAATTACGAAAAGGAAGGGGAGATCAAACATAACGGTAACGTGGTGGAATTCAAAGTCAAGTTTGAGTACAATACCGCGACGGTTTGTGGGCCGAGGAACCTTGCGTTTGGGACGGTGAACATCCAGACGCAACAGGGAGAGTTGTTCAAGACGGATGCGCAAGGACGGAAGTCGACGAGTATCTTCAAGATGACGGATTTGGGAAAGGGTACGTTGGCTTTTTTTTGCATTTTGTTTGTTCGTGTGCCTCACCTTGGTTTCGTATGGCACGTAGAGGGATTGGGAAAAGTTGTTACTTGACTTTGATTGGAACGCGGTGTGTGCGTGGCCAAGGAGCATTCATTGAGTACTACAGTAGTAACATGAAGTGTATATGCGTGCTGGTCCTTGAAATGAGAATTTTTGTTGATGCGATGAGAGTCTGAAGTTGGTCTGAAGGTAAGCTTGAGGTAAGCGCCAGGTGCCATTCTGAGCGCTTGGCGCTTGC